AGTGATGCAGTACTGGAGCTTCAGGCCAGGTTGGATGAGGCTCTGGGCAACCTTGGATAGTGGAAGGTGGCCCTGCCCATGGTAGGGGGTTGGAATGAGATGGTCTTTAAGGTCCCTCTTAAATCATTCCATGATTCTGTGATTCCATGAAGGCCATTTATTGTAGGATGTCCTGCTTCCTCCAGCCTGGTCTCCAGAGCTTCTCATCCCACTCAAACACAAGTCACAGCTCCTTATTTAACTGCTATCCCTAAATGACTCCCCTGCTTCTTAAAGAGTATCTGATTGCAGAGCAAATTGATTACCAATAATGGGATAAACAGATAATGAGCTGAGCCTGGACCTGATTGACTTTCTTGGCTTTTTAACAAAAAAAAAGAGAGAGGGTTCCTCTTTTTTTTTTTTTGATTATTTTATTTGTGTGCTTCAGTTTCAGCTGAACTGTTTATAAACATTCGTGGTATTTTATCTCATGATCCCAGCCATAAGAACGGCACATTTCTGGCAAGGAAAGCTGGATACTTGACACATAAAACTCCAGATTTCACCAGTCAGCACCCAGGTACGTCTGTGTCTGACTCAATCCAGCAGGACTTTCTCCTTTAACTGTGTAATGAGGGGAGGAATAACCAAAACTCCCTCTAGAACGTGGAAAAACTCAGCAAAAAAAGTGTTTTATAGCCCTTCATAGAAATGGCACAATGATTTCAGTTGAGTCTGAGGTCCATCAGGAACACAGTCTGCACTGAGATGATGAATTTTGTACATTCTCCCCTGCACTGAGCAGGTGAATCCTGTCACTCGCCCAGCAACAAGTTTTTCAAAGGATTTTTTTAATAATGCCTCAAATTGAGCATTTTGGGGGGGGTGGGTGTAAAGGGCTGGAAAAATCATCTAACACCCAAGTGAAGGTTTAGCCTCCTGAAGTGCAGTTCTAATTCTAGTTTCCCTTTCTAATCATGGAGCTGGGATTTCACCTCATTTGGCCCCTCCAAGACAGTGAACATCAAAATGGGGATCATCTGATAAATGTGATTATTTCCAACACAGCTGAGCTGCTCACTAAGAATCCCCTCACAGTAAACAAAGATTTTGTCAGCAGGCAAGACAATCTGAACAAAATTCATCACATCCTAAACCAGATGCCAGAACACACCACAGATGCCTAAAACCAAGTGAAAATCCCTCGACAAAAGTCATTCCCATGCCATGTCTAAAATCAGTCTACTTAGTCTTGATTCTATGGTGAAGAATCCTCTCCTGTATTGAATCACACATGTCATTTTATATCTTTGCTGGTTACTTCAGCATGGAGTTATAAAACACCAAGGCACAGGACTGCAAGGACAGCCCTGCTCATGAAATCCAGCCCTGTGCTGCAACATGAACCGCGGCCTACACACCCTGCCATAAACTGGGCAAGCTCTGCCACCAAGTCAATAAAACAAAACACTCCTTCCTGCAGACCTCCAGAAAGGCTGTTTGGTATCCTCTGATGGTTACAAACTTCCTTTAAAGTCCAGACTTTGATCTCCCAGCCGTTTGATTCTCCCGTGTACACGCTGCCGGCTTCAATTGCTTTTCCCTGTGGATTTCTCCCGAACTGCATCCTCTGTGGCCTTTCCCCTGGCCTTTCCCCCCCTCTCCTCATCAGAGGTGGGCATGTTTTTGTGACCTCTGGTCATGGAATCATAAAATCATGGAATCATCAAGGTTGGAGGAGACCTTTAAGACCATCAAGCCCAACTGTCAAGTCTCCTCAAATGTGGGAAACTTCACAGACACTGAATCACACTCCTGGCAGGGAATAGAGGGATTCACACAGATCATCCAGTCCCACCCCCTGCCATGGGCAGGGACACCTTCCACTAGCCCAGGTTGCTCCAAGCCCCATCCAACCTGGCCTTGGACACTTCCAGGGATGGGGCAGCCACAGCTTCTCTGGGCAACCCGTGCCAGGGCCCCACCACCCTCACAGGGAAGGATTCCTTCCTAATATCCAATCTAAACCTCCACTCTTTCAGTTTGAAGCCATTCCCCCCCCTGTCCTGTCACTCCAGGCCCTTGTAAATAGTCTCTTTCCATTTTTCCTGTAGGTTTCTTTCAGGTCCTGGAAGGCCACAATTAAGTCACCCCAAAGGTGACTTGGGTGAACAACCCCAACTCTCCCAGCCTTTTCCTTGCAGCAGAGCTGCTCCATCCCTCTGATCATCTTGGTGACCTCCTCTGGACTCTCTCCAATGGGTCCCTGTCCTTCCTGTGGTGGGAAGCTCAGAGCTGGAGACAGGTGGGGTCTAGGTGAGGTCTCATAAGAGGGGCAGAACAATCAACAGGAGTCCTGTGGTCCAGGACTGGTGGCACCAGGAGCAGCAACTGGCACCTACAACCAGCACTGAGAGCACAGAGGTTTAATTTCATGTTTATACCCTCCCCTCTCCCATCAGGAATGAATACCAGGAATGGGTGTTGGAAGGCAAAACACCTCTAAGACAGATGTTATTGTTTATCAGTGGAAATCCTGCTTATCCAGTGATCACCCTCAGCACCACCATCAAGTGTTCTTAATGAGTGACTAATCTATCTGACACATCAAATTACAGCTGTGATTAAGCCCCTCTCATCAATACAATCAATAATGGCTTCTAAACAAAGCTTTATGTCCACAATGTACCGAAACAGTGTTTGCTTATTTCCACTCATTTAATTAGCGAGGATAACAAATTGGTTGTTAAATTGTTAAACCTCAAGTGATTTTCCTTCTGCTCAAAGGATGTGGAATGTGCAGAAGGCAACAAACCTCCTGGCCATAAATCAAGGTATTACACTGCAGATCACAGGGAATCTCAATTGCTTTCCATCGTCCTGTTCTGGGGGATGGAACCGTGCTAAAATTACATTTTTCCTGCGAGTTTTACTGGGGTTTTTCTTTCCAGCAACACTCAGATGAGACAGTCATCGCCTTCATACGATCTCCTATCAGCACCTTCAAGAGATTTCTCCCCAACAAACTTCCCCCTCACCCACAAACATCCAAGTTTTATTTTGCTCAGCTCCATTTATTGAGTTATGGAGCCCCACTCCAGAAAAACATCTTTTTTTTGACCTACTTGTGCCTTAAACACTCCACAGGGAAAACACACCCCATATAGGCACTTTGAAATCATCTGTCCACACCACTTTCAAAACAGACTTCTCCATAAACTGATCCACTCAGAGTCACTCATTTTTGGGGCCAACACTTGAGAGATTCTGGTTTCTTTCTGTTCACTCCAGGGCAGCCATGAGTGTCTGGATTAAAGTCAGGTACTGAGCTTTTAAATACCTGCTGATGTTTTGAGGCAAATGGATTCCAACTGCCTTCCTCAGAGTTTGCCCTGTAAAATTTGGCTGGGCACCCCCTGTGTCCCTGCACATCCCTGTTCCACACCAGTGTCACCACTGACCATTTCAGGGCATGCTGATGCACACAAGCATCTGACATTAACCCAATCCATGGACAAAAAACTGTTTACAGTGCTCACAACTGCAATTTCTGAATCACTATTTATGAGTAGTGACTGGTGGAAATGTAAACTTCTCCCAGCCCAATATTTCAGTGTTCCACTGTGAACCTCCCCCTCCTTCCAAAGGATTTCCCTATACTTGCTAATGCTTGGGCATTAAGGGCTTTTGCCTGTCTTTACTTCAGAACTGGGAAAAATGTTTTCAGCGGTTTAATTCGGTGGTTAGAGAGAGTGAAAAAAAAAAAAAAAGCTGTTTTGGATTAAAGTTTCCAACGAGAAAAATCATTTTGACAAAGCAGAAAAAAATATTATCACTTCAAGTATTTATTTTTCTGCTTTTAACAAACTGCATGTAATCGAATTTCTTTAAATATCCACAAAAACGAAATGAAGTATTTAGTTGGCTTTCAGATGAATGTTTTGAACTACCCAGACTTTTCCCTTTACTGGATTCCAGGAGAACATTTCTTCAAACAGCTCTGCTTAACTGTACAGGGACACTTGAAACAGCTTCCATATCAGAGCAAACCGTCTCTTAGCAGATAAAAGCAGGGGCCAAAAGCCTTCCTTGCATCCAGTAAAGCTCCTCCTGGGATCAGCTGGCCCCAGGATGTTATTCCATCATTAAGCAGCATGGAACAGTCCTTCAGTCTGTGTCCTGACTGCACACAATGCCAAGGGAGAGAGGATGAGGACGCATCTTCTTCCCCTTTTTCCTCTTTCAGGAAGAGGGATGTAAATATCAAGCAGGATATGCATCTTCCCACCCTTTCCCTTCGCAATGTGATCCCTTCTTTTTGGATTTTGACAGCCCAACCTTGGTCCCTACAGCTCTTTTACTTACAGAAACAAGACTGGTGACTTGAGAGAGGCACTTGGAGGGGGAGAGATCCAACTGGATGTCTTGGGGCTAAGTTCCTTCCTCCTTTCCTGATCACTGAAAGGATTAAGGAGATCAGAGACCCTTCCAGGAGGGCTGCTCGGTGTGGTGTGTGCTCCATGAACAAGGAGAGGACCTCAGCTGCCTGCCCCAACTCCAGAGATACCTTGCAGCCTTGGAAAACCCCCTCCCTTCCTCTGCTTCACCACCAGGACAGCAGCAACCTTGGCATGGGGATGGGAGGGCAGTTTAATGGAAGGAGAAGTTCGCCACAGCTTCCCTTGAACCTGGGAACTTCAGGCTTTCACATCCCAGGGAAAAACTGGTTAAGGAATTTCCACTTCAGAGAGATGGATGACTGTGATTAAACACACCTAAGTTAGGCTTACCCAGCTGGAAGGCAGCAGGGGAACCCTGGAGAGCTATTCCAACTCTTGGCTGATTGAACTGTGCTTTGGAAGGGCCTATTTCTCTCCCTCCTAAAGAGCTCAGGATCAGCTGGAGTGACTGCCCTGCTCCAGCAGGGGTGAGAAATGGCCTGGGGAAGGCAGATGTGAGGCTGGGGGATGTTGGCTTGCTGGCCAGGGAGAGAAGAGAGCATTCCCATATTCCCATACCTGCAGTCTGGTTATCCCCAATAAGCTCTGCCAAGCACTGGCTCCGCTCCTCCTCGATCTCCTGCATGATGCTGCACTCTGGCCGTGTGCTGGACGCCTGCAGAGAGGGCAGAGAAGGACAGAGTGAGCAAAACCCACCCTCAGAGATGCATCCCTGGGGATTCATGGCCTCATGGAGTGACCTGGAGCTCTCCAGGGCCACTGCACAGTGGTGACACACAACCAGCCTTGTTCTCTGTCTGCCTGAGAGAAGGGAGTGCACCCCAGAGCCTGCTGAGAAATCTGCATTTCCCTTAGGGAAAAAACCCCCACAACTTATTTTTTCCTGATGATCAGGAGCAATCCTGCTACTTTGTGCTCCAGGAACCCTGCCTGGATAACCAAACCCACCAGCTATGTAGGGCAGGGAGACAGCAGCTTTAATATTCATGCCAAGAGCAGTGGGATCTGGGCTTCATGGTTTATTCCCTCCATCCTCACAGGGGCTGTCTCCTGGTTCTTGCTAATTCAAAGCAAAACAAAAACCAAATCAAATAAGAACCAAACCTCTGATGCAGATTAGGAGATCAAGGAGCTAAAAAGCAGGAAATTCCCAGTGACAAGACTTTTTTCTCTCAAGTGGTTTCTCCTCAGTCAGACTTAATTATATTGTGTTTGTAATTCAACAGTGGCTGTGAATGTTCAGGTAATTAACCGTGGACTCCTTACATGAACTGCCTCAATCATAAAATGTGAAAATATTGATTTTTAACTCCAAAAAAAGGAACCAGGAGCTCACACATATCACCCTGTCCCCTTGTCACCAACATGCTCTCAACCTGGGGGGGGACACCTTGACCGTTGCTATGGTAATTACACACAAAAACTGAGGCTGCACCAAACCCCATCTCTTTTAAAGGGATTGGAAAGGGCATTCAGAAGGAGAAAGGGCATTTAGAGGGAGAAATCTATTCAGAAATCCAGCTGCAAAGAGGTAGAAAGAGGGGAATGATGGAAAATGGAAAGAGGGGAGGAGAGCACAAGTCTTGGACTGAGTTTATATCCTCACTGTCAAATGTGACATGGGAGAAAGCATGAGTTGTGAGCTTCAGGGACAGATTATGAGGACATGGCATGAACCTGTAAAAAGTCACTGATTCAGTGTTCACTCTTAAGGATTTTGGAAAAAGCATAAATTTTCATCTGAAATAGGCAGAGAAAATAAATTAAATTAAAAAAAACCCCTTTTCCCGTCTCGTTTCAAAACGTGTAATCGTTACTCTACCCATGTATTTGCCAGACAAGTTTGTAAAGGGGAAGGTCCAGAAATCCTTTGAAGGAACAACTGTTTGTTGTAAATTGCCCTTTGGATTAACATTATAAAATGATTTAGCACATTAACTTTATTCTCACCGCTTCCTATTAGCCTTTTAGCTCTCTTCCCTCTTTCATACCATGCCTAGTTCAGATTGTAATTTCCTTTAGGTTGGGAATGGGCCTTGATTAGCAGTGTATAAACAATTAATTATGTGGTTTTCTAGTCAAATTGAAAATAAATAAAAAAAACAAACACAAGAAGAGGGAGAATCATTAGGAGTTGTCTTCATTCTCAAATGTTTCTTTTTCCCAAGGGGAAACAGATCTTTGGAAATTTGATCTTGGCTCCTCTAAAATACCATAAATTCATTTGTTTTGATTTACAGTGCTTGTTGCCTTTTTATTTTAACCTCAAAAAAGCACGAGGGGAAGCGTGAGAGATTTGCAGAACACTTGCTGCAAAAATAAAGACTGAAATGTTTTCAAAACATCTGCATTTTTCAAAGGACAGTTTTAACTCTCTGGATTTAAACTATTGCCAAATTCATCTCACGTCTATAAATACCTCCAGTTTTCCCTTTAAAATTAATTCATACTGCTCTAACCTTGATCAGGGCTGGCAAAGCACTGTGTGTTTCTACAATATACTTTATTACTATTTTTTTTATGCAACAATTTTTGCACCAAGCCCATTAGCAAGTACTTCACTGCCACTTCTTCCCTTCACTAAAAATTCAGGCCTAAATAACCAGGTTGCATATTTACCTCAGTGGCCCCGTATTTTCTTTTAAGTAACTGGTTTTTATAGCCTTTCAAAACAGAGATAAGGCTGTAGTCTGAAAAGTGAGCTTGTGATAGACTCAGGTAAACTTGATTACAGGTATAATTTTTAAAATCGCATATTTTTTACACATAGTCCAAGAGAAAATACATCTGTGTTAGGGAACCCAGTGAAAAAAAGAGTGTCCAGTAGCTAAACCACCAAAACACAGGTGATCTTGGCTTTTGTAGTGCTGGTGCTGATTTTCTGGGATCTTTTGGGTGAGGTGGGTGGTCACAACAACCCCACAACAGCCACGGGCCGGGGAGAGGGGCTGGAAAAGGCCCTGGGGGTGGTGGTGAGAGTGGTTGAACATGAGCCAGGTGTGCCCAGGTGGGCAACAAGGCCAAGGGCACCTGGCCTGGACCAAGAATAATGTGGCCACAGGACCAGGGCAGGGATTGTCCCCCCGTGCTGGGCACTGCTGAGGCCACACCTTGAATTCCGTGTCCAGTTTTGGGCCCCTCATGACAAGAAAGACTTTGAGGGGCTGGAGCGTGTGCAGGGAAGGGAAGGGAGCTGGGGAAGGGGCTGGAGCAGCAGGAACAGCTGAGGGAGCTGGGGGAGCTCAGCCTGGAGAAAAGGAGGCTCAGGGGGGACCTTCTGGCTCTCTAAAACTCCCTGATGGATCCAGGGAAAGGTTGGGCTCTGCTCCCAGGGAACAAGGGACAGGATGAGGCGAAACGGCCTCAAGTTGTTCCAGGGGAGGTTTAGGTTGGATATCAGGGAAAACTTCTTCACCAAAAGGGTGAACACTGGAACAGGCTGCTCAGGGCAGTGGTTGAGTCACTGTCCTTGGAGGGATTTAAAAGCTGTGTAAGTGTGGCACTTGGGGACATGGGTTAGTGGGGACTTGGCAGTGCTGGGTTAGTGGCTGGACTTGATGATCTCAGAGCTCTTTTCCAACCTTAATGATCTTATGATTGATTCTATAAGCAAAGGAAGAGTGGGATGTATCTCGACTTCTCTCTCAGTGGGAAACATCACCCTTAATTTTAGCTGAGTCAAAGCTCTTTGTTCAGTCTGAACTGATTTTTTACCATTCCTAGTCCACAGAGAGCTAGCAAGCATCAGCTCTGAAGGCTTTCATCCCACTTCCCTGACTGCAGTTGGACTAGTTCAAACTGAAACACCTACTACTCAGCTGGAGGAGGTCAGTGATGTGTGAATTTAATGTCTACAGACCTTTAACTGAATCACCAAGGTCAACAAACAGATTCACAGTGGAGGACTTCGAGTTTATGGCTCATTTGCCACATTAAGTAAACAAGTAAATAAATAACCCAATCACAGCAACTCTCTTCTCCCTCCTTAGTGATAACAGCAATAACCCTCACATATCACAGCTGTCATTGATACAGGCCAACAAAGGCAAGTGGAATAAAAAATAGTGTGAAAACATCACAGTTTTGGGCATCATTAGGAAACAGAAAGTGTGTCTTTTTGTGTTGGTGGGTCACAAGTACATCTGGCATGATGGTGAGCAAGGCAACAAGTTCAGCTGCCTCAATTCACCTCCCAATTGGCAAAACGTTTGTGGCTGAAAAGACCCCTCAAGAGCTGCAACTCTTGCCTGTCAAGGGGGATATTCCCTGGAATAAAGGACTAAATAAGTCTCTTTCTCTGGTGTATTCGTCCTAGAAAAGTTGGAGTAGATTTTATAGACAGCTTGGTACAAACTCACTTTACTACTTCCCCAGCTCTGGTGGGTTTTTTGTTTGTTTGTTTTTGGTTTTGTTTTTGTTTGTTTTGGGGTTTTTTAAGCTATGGAAAAGGGAGAGATTTTGGGCTTCGAAATCTTTCTGTGGGCAGCTGGCCACCCAGACAGGGGGCTGAGGAGCACATGGATTCCCATTTCCCATCCAAAAAGTAAATATAAAGGATAGACATGGCAAGCTCTGGTTAGCTCACATCAACATCAGATAATGAACAATAATCCAGTTTCTTGGGAATATATCTTATAGTTGAAGCTGAGACTTGATAAACCCCCCCTTTCACTAATCCCTCCTGGCATGGCCAAGACCACACGTAAAAGTTGTGGTGGCTTTGTTGTGGAGGGGCTGCTTCTCCTGCTCACACTCTGAGCAGAAAGATGAAGGGAATGTTTTTCTGGATGTGATCTCCTGCAGCTCTCAATCCTGCAGCAGCTCTCACATGGAGTTACAACCAAAATCTTTATTAATGAGAGTTTTCCTTCCCGCCGGATCCCAAGAGTTGTTAGAGGATTATCACACAGCCTGCTGCTGCAAACAAAGCCTTTGTGTGCACTCTTTAATTAAATACAACTCAAAGGATTGTCACAGACTGCAGGAGCTGCAGAAATGTTTGGTCTCATCTCTGCTGTCTGCCATCAGCGGGGTCAGAATAATCATGGCCCAGCTCTTTGCTCACACAGCAGCTCCTCAAGGACAGGTGGGATTCCCAGCAGAGCCACAGCTGCAGGTGAGCAGGGTATGGACCCAGGAGAGGTGATATGAGCCTCAGGATGGCCCTTTCTCCTGATGCCAGAGTGTTCCTGGGCTCACCTGGAGCTCACTGTGTGGAGAATCCAGCAGAGATGAGGACTGGGGTGAGCATGGCAATAACAGGATTTGGAGTCAAACAAAAAGGAGCAGAATTGAAAAGCCTACAGGGGATGAAACCACATCCTTCACCCATTTCTGTTCAGCTCCCAGAGCCTACATCCTACATACCAAACTAACTTTTAGTTATGAGAGACAATTTCTTATACCTTGACTACACTCCCATGGCTTCTGGGAAAACAGTAATGGAATAAGACAAGAGCATCAGTTGCCTTCCCAGAATTTCTGTAACTTGACTTCAGTCATTGCTTGAGGTGGAGGTGAAGGTTCTTAACCTTCCCTCATGTGAATCAGAAGGAAAATGAAATATTTTAGCAGCCAGATCTTATTTCAAGCATCAGAAGCATAACCTGAAGGAGCTACTTCTGGCTCCTTGTCAGAAGAGCTCCCCATTTCAGTCCATGGCTTTCATCCATACTCATTATTTTAGAAATACAGGACTGAAGAACATCTTACACAGGAATCTCAGCTTTGATTTCTTCCATAATTTCCTTCAGCTCTGTCTTAAAACTAGATTTTAGATTCTTTTCAGCTTTCTTCCTTTAAAATATCCTCAGGAAAATACAGCTTTATTCCTAAAAACCCTCTGAGTCAAAAAAGTACTGTGTAAAAATGCAAGAATGAGCAAAAAGAGTGAACCAAAGAAAAACACCAACTCAGGATTTTTACCTGTGATGATGGGTGACACAATTTCCAACAATAAGATTGTCAAAAGCTACTAAAGCTCTGGTGCTTTTGGGAAAAGGGGAAAAAAAAGGAAGTATTTATGGAGTATTATAATTATTTGCTCTTCTACAGGACCTTGTCTAAGAATCCAAAACCATGTTACCAATATGACAACAGGGGGAAATAAATGTTAGATATCAGTATCAGAGACATAAACTGGATGGGAAGTCCACAATTAAAACACACCAAACATCCTGTGTGGCCTCTGTAGGATCAGTGCAGGAGGACCTGCAAACCCAGTGATTTTTAAAGACTTATATAGTGTTATATTCTCACATATATATTTAAATATTTAAATATATATATATAAATATATATATATATATATACACATACATATAAAGTTTATTCTCCCATGACTTGGATCACAGGGAGCAGCACATGTCCCTCAGAGACTTTTCCAAATAAAAGAGGTCCAGGCACACACCCAACCATCCTGACTCTCACTTTTCTGTTCAAACCACTCCATTTTATGCTTCTGCCAAACACAATCATGCCCATGACAGATCTGTCACTCGAGGAGGAAAGCAGATGTCTTTTTCCAGCTTATCCAGGCAGGCCCTGTCAAACAAAGGCAACTTGGCCAAACCAATCCAGCAGCTTGGAGGCACCAGAGGCTTCATTTACCTGGATTTCCCCATTTTTGTGGGAGGGGTTGGAAGGCCAAGGAAATGGGTGTTTTGCAGAGAGCTTGGAGAACCAGAAGGAAGGGAAGTTGAGCAGCTATTCCTTAATTCCTTAGTGACAAGCTTGTATGAGCCTCTCCTGGAAAAGAGAGCTGAACTAGGGTCTTAAGGAAGAAGTGACAGCCTGGAACTGGAGTGATGACACACAGCAGCTGAAGGAGAGGCAGCACTTGAGTAAATTCTTACAACTGAGTAGGAGACAGCTCTCATGGGTGGGTAAGCACATTTTGCTCCTTTAAATTATCATCTGGAGTAAGCAAGTATGAATTTCCATGCCAGGGTGCTCAGACTACAGGTTTGAATTCAGATTATTGCAGAAATAGAGGGATGCTGCAACACTGAGATCAGCTGTGCTTAGATCTACAATTCAGAGTGAGGGGCAAAGTGCTGTAATATCTCTCCTATGACTGAGAAAAAATAAGAAAGGAACAACTGTGATAATCCCAAGAGCACATGGGGACAGCAAAGTGGACACCACTCCCTGACTTCTCTAGCAATTGGAGGCAGTGAAGTAACTTGCAGTTTTCCCTGAACTACTGGTGATTGACTGCTTTTAATTTCCTTTCACCTCTGGGTGTAAGAAGCCTGCTAGAGGAAAAGTCTGCTCCTTTTCTTAAAGGGTATTCCAAAACTTACCCACTAAACTGATCAAACCTCCTGTGGGAAATTCACCTCCAAAGCATCTGCTCAGTCAGCTACAGGGGCAGCAGAAATACAAAGGAAATGCAGACCCAGAACTGCCTGACAGGACTCAGAAACATGATTTGGGGATCAATGCGCAAAAATTAGGTGCCTGTGTGTAAACATCTACATTTGTCTGCTTCACACTGATTGTCCTTCCTCACCTGAAGAGAGAAGGAAGCACTTTCAGGGCATGAGTCACTCCAAATTAAAGGAAATGTCTAAAATAGGTAAGAGGAAACCCTCTACTGTTTCAGCCACGAAGCCTGAGGCAACTGGCTCAGGGGTGGATGTCTAGACTGCAAATATCTAAAGGTAAATGAGATAAACCCACAGACTTGGGCTCATGTCTAAATTCAATGATTCCCCTCCAGACAACCCCATCCTTCCCCAGCCTACTCCCAAGAGCAGCTGTGAGATGGTAACTGGAATGATCCTTACAGAGAAGTTCAGTGAAAGTCTAGTGAGTGCTCTAATTTGCTCACAGGTTGTGGCTTTTTTCAAGATGTAAATGCTGCTGTTCAGAAAAGGTCCTTGGTTTCAGGAGAATGTTGTGTTAATACTGCCCTGAATTGCTGCTCATCCAGCCCCGAGTCATCTCTTGAGGAGCCACCTCTTTGCTGCTGGGGACAGAAGAAATGGTCTCTAATTCAGTTGCAGGCACAGAAGGGACTATAAAGCCTCAGATCCTAATTCCTGACAATGTCTCCATCCATCCAGATCTGATTCTTGCCCTGGGCAACCCCAGAGTGCCCCCACCCAGTCCTGCCTCCTCTCCTCTGCACCTCCAGCTCACTCCAGCTGTGGCACCAGAGTCTTCTTTTCCTCCTGAAACCAACCCCGGTGTCCCCATCCAGCAGCTCCTCCTGCCACCACAGTGAGATCTGGACTGAACTCAGCTGGCCACAGAAAGGTGGAAGGCTTTGTATGGCAGGTGGAGCAGAGGGGGATCCCAAATCCAGAGGCAGGGAGTTTGGCAATTTGAGCAATGCCCTGGAGGGCCCCTGAGCTGGGAAGTGGGCAGTGCAGTCCAGAGCCTGGGACAAAATTAGAGCTTGATCCAAATCACAGGGAAGTCCCTGAGGCTTCTCCCCTGCCCTTCTCATTCCCAAGCATTCCCTGGACCTCTCCCACTGCCTGGGAGCTGCGTGCACACAAAACCTACACAAAACCTTCAGCAAACAGGACCCCCCCAGGCCTCCTGCAAGGCTGGATATTGGGAGTTATTTATAACCAGGGGGCTGGATAAAGTAATCTGAGTGTTCTTTAGTTCTCAGAAATGCCGCAGTGGTCTGGTTGGAGGAACAACAGTCTTGGTTTAACAACATGGGCGGCTCCTTTTAACTTTTAGAGGAAGTGAAAGCTCTGAGAGTGTCTAGAAATCCAGTGTAAATCCAGTGTTCTCACACCATCAGTAAAACAAGGGCTGGAGTGACAGTCCAAACTATCAGCACTCGCCCCACACAGGAATAATGAAAAATGTGTTTCCACTATTCCCAGCTGGAAGGGACTCCAAGCTACAGGTTGAACAGGTTGTACCACGAGCCCGAGAGCCCTGGACAAGCAGGAGAATTGAACAAATGTGACATGACACGACTCCCCCACGCTGTCTGAACCAGGCAAGCATGCAGCACTTCCACCTGACGGGAACACTGCTGTCTTCCCAGGAGCCTGAGGGCCACAGCGAAATTTTTCTGACAGCTCCAACCACCCTCCCCATCACGATGCTCAGAGAAGGCTCAGGATCCCAGAACGCCAGGATGCTGTGCCAGGGCTGCAGCCCAAAAATCCACACTTCTGCCGAGCACACAGCTGAGTGGGGAGTGAAGATGGTCCAAGTGAAGTGTCAGACGCTGGAAATAATCTGTGTTACAAACCAGAACAACCCACTAGCAGTTGCCACACTGTGAACACAGAATCCCAGAATGGTTGGGGTTGGAAAGGACCTCCCAGAGCATTGATTTCCAGCCCCATCGAGGCAGGGACACCTCCCACTAGACCTGGTTGCTCCAAAACCCAACCAGCCTGGCCTTGAACACTTCCAAGGATTAGACATGGTGAGGCTTGACCAGGAAAGAGTTTAACAATGGTTTTAAGGAGGCAAGAATATCACCCTCTCGCTTCCTGAAGGGACTGACCACACCAGCTTTGCTGCAATCCAAGAGCTTTGCCTCCCATCCATCCCTGAATCAAAGTCAAGGAGTAACCACCTTCCACTGTGCAACCAGACTGTGATGAAACAGCTGTTCAGGCAGATAATTAATTCTACTTTATTCCACTGGGCATTTTCTTTTGTCATTCCTTACCTGCCCACAACACAGATGGGGGAAAAGGATTAGAGGGAAGATGTTTCTGCTTTGCCTGTTTGAAAGGGAAAATGTAAAAGGGTGCACAGAAACTGAATGCTTAGATGGCAAAACCAAATCTTAGTGGTGCAGTATCACCACATCTCTCTCAGGTGGTGCCACGGGCTGTAGATCTCAGCATGTTTTACAAAGGTAGTGTCTCTAATGTCTTTTGACAGATGGAGAAACCAAGGCAGAAAGCCTAAGATCAAAAAAAAACAAAACAAAACAAAAAAAACAACAAAACCAAAATCACCAAAAAACAAACAAACAAAAAAATAAAAAAAACCCCAAACCAAACCCACCACCAATAAAAATAAAACAAAACAAAAAACACAAAACTCCAAACAAAAAAAAACCACAAAAGAACCCAAGAAACCCCCAGCTCATGACCCCCCCTCAAAAAAAACAACAGCAAAACAACACATCAAAACTGTCAGGTTGGTCTGTCTGTCTCCAAAACCTCCTTCCTTATAGCAAAGATAGACAAAACCCTAAAAGCTTCCCACTCTCTGTTGGCAGCATTTGTATGTCTCTAAAAGACCTTTCCACATGCCAGGGTATCCTGAAGTCCACATCTGGCAGAGATATGAAACATTTAAATGTTCTCCTCAAAATACCCTGGTCTGGCAGCAGAGAGCCAACAGAGAAAAAGAGAATTTGGATGGAAAAAAGAGTATGGAAGAAAGGAGTTGGGCCCTTTTTCCATGGGAACAAGAGAAAGACTTCAAATCTCACTTTAGGAATATTGACAGCTAGGAAGTAAAACCTGAGATGGGCATTAGGAGGGATCAGGACACCTGGGCAGAGCAGCTGATGGATCAGGAAAGAAAATTATGTTCAGAGCAGCAGAATGAGCAGAAAACCTCTGAGCACTGCTAGAAGTCTCACCCTGGCTGTCAAGAGCAACTCAGCTAAGAAGAAAAAAATCTTTGAGCCACATAAATAAAAAGAGAACAACATCAGGGTTAAAAAAATGAGAAGTCCTGAAATTCAAGTGAAAGCTAATCACAGCCCCCCAAAAAGGAGAAGTAACACCCCCCACTTCTGTTCACTGGCTTCCCCAAAGGATTGGAGGTGAAAATATAATTTTACTAGTACAAAGTTGAATAGTTGCACATGGGGGAAATGATTTATCTTGAATTACTGAGAACAACAACAGGGCTGGCTGTGAAGGCAAACAGGAGTGTGGAAACTGTTATATGTGAGGTGAAAGCCACTCAGAAGAGAACAACGTGGTCAGATGGGATGGTGGGAGTGGGACCATCTGGCTGAAAGTCAACAAAAGAAAAGCTTTTTTACATGTAGGAAGGAGGGAGGAAAAAAGATCCAGACAGCTCTCAGCAAGTTAATCTGAGCACAAAAGCACACAAGGCTTTTGAACACCACTCGAAGGAAAATGTAATTGAAAGTGTAATTGAAAGTGTGGCAGCAAGTGGAGATGGGGAGACAATATAAAACGTGGTTTATCAAAAGGAAATCATGGCAATGTAAGCAATAGTTTGTTTGGTTGGTTGGTTTTTAATAAGGCTGCTGTTGTGGGAGGTGAGATGAAAATCAGTGGATCTAAACCTTCCTATCTTCACTAAATACTCTGATTCTATGCTGAAAGGAATGACAACCTGGATACAGGGATAATACAACAGCTGGAAGGAAACTAAGGGAGGTTAAACAGACAGAAGTTATGGTTGCCCCATCCCTGGCAGTGTCCAAGGCCAGGCTGGACTGGACTCGGAGCAACCTGGGCTAGTGGAAGGTGTCCCTGCCCATGGCAAGGGAGTTGGAACTGGATGGTCTTGAAGGTCCCTTCCAACCCAAACCATTCTGGGATTCTATGCAATGGCCAGTGGGAAGGCTGCAGGGGGGGATGAAGGCAGAAATATGGAGCCAGAGGAGGTCTGCAGCCACTTAAAAGAGTCAGTGGCTCTACTAAAGATAGAATGAAATGTACTGATGGAACGAGAATAGGAAACAGGGAGCAATCAACAAAAAGGTCCTTGAGAACAGGAAACTTCTGCTGGAAACAGCAGAGCAGAAGAATCTGTTAATATGATTGTGCTTGAGGGATGCTGGAACATGTAAACCAAAGCTGCCTGGTTCTATATTATAGGCAACATAGTCTTCACAGACTCTCTGTCTCCAGCAAACACCTCTTGGGGCATTTTCTGATCATTTTGATCCAGGGCAAAGCTCTTTGGTGGCTTCAGGGAACAGGGTAGTGCAGAATCCATCACCTGGCTGCAAATGGCCAAACTGCCCACAATTAGATGTGGGGCAAAGACCCTTAAAAAAGAGAAGGATAATTTAAATCATGATAATGGTGCCTTTAGAGTAATCAGCCCTTTACAGCCATCTCCTCATTGCTTCAGTAGCCCCAACCTGCCTGGTAACTTCTCCTCCAGAGCCTGACCTTTCCTGGCTCCAACCCAGCATCCCTGCATGCTGTGCTTGCTCACATCAAATCAAGACAGCAGTGACACCAGACAGCTACCCAAAAAAACTGCAGTCCTGCAGGTTTAGCTCCAGTTTCCTGACTGGAAAGTCAAGAGAAGGAAAAAAAACAAAACAAAGAGAGAAAGAAAAAAAGAGAAAGAAAAAAAAAGAGAAAGAAAAAAGTCCGATAGCAACTAAATTCAACTTTGGTTCTGGGGAAGAAAGTAAGAAACTAAGGCAAAAAAAACATTTTGCTGACTCCCCAAAGCTCCTTCGAGTGTGTAAAATCAATTAACTGAGAGACAGGCAGCAGCATGCTGAGCAGCAGGAATATCAGGGAAGAGCACAGGGAACATCTACTCCCACAGATTCACCTCCAGAAGGGTGAGAGAGGGGAGAAAAGGAAAACTGCTGGGAAGAAATCAGCTCAACCTGCTCATTCATCCTTTGTCTCATGTGCCTCTCAAACACTGAGTACAACATGGGATGCTGTATATCCCATATAGAAGAGGAGGCTTTTTGTTTTCAGGTGTCCCTTTGAGTTCACCAGGATTTCAGCTCTCAAGAGACTTTCTGAAGGGGGATGATTTCAGACTGACACTCAGTGCATAAAAAAACCCACAGCCCTGCACAAAGTCTGTAACAAGAGTGGTCATTTTTGCCAATATAGCCCAGGGAACTGTCTCAGTGGTGCTGAGAAACGATTTCTGATTATAACAAAAGTATTCTGAGACAGCCAGATGCTCTGGCCAGCTGAATGCAAGGACCTGAGCCCCCAAAAAAGCTCTTCTACTGGTGACACTGGTGTAGTGCCTCCAGCTGACAACACAACCATGGCCTGACTAACTTTTGAAGTGGTTCATCCAACATATAACACTGAAGTCACACAAGGGTGAGTTATCCCCTTGGTCATTATTGTTTTAACAACCAGTTCATCAGGAAATTTGGCCAAAGGATTAGCCCAATATTGTCCAGGGAAAGGATTCAGCAGAGGCATCATGGTGGCCATAGAACAAATAGTACCTACTGCTGTCTCATCATCAAATTACAGGGATTTTGGGCTGGAAGGGTCTCTGGAGGGCTGAATTTGGTCTCACAACAGTGCTACTCTTGCTCAGCCACAGATTTCTCTACCCAAGTCTTAAAACCCTCCAAACATGTTTGTTTGTTTCTGTATGTTTTGAAACTGTATTTTTTGAAACTGTATGTTTCTGGGTGACTGTTTTGTTCCACAACCCTTGTACTGTAGAAATCTTCATTATTTGTAGCTGCTCTTCAAGTACCTTTTGACTACAACATTGTGTACAATAACTTGAGGTCGAAGAGGAGCCATATCACTCCCTCTTACACAACAAATGTTCATCTACAGGGCTCCAGTTTTTCAGTTTTAGAAATAATAACCATTAGATTTTCACTGGGAGGTGGTGGTCTGTTTGCAGAGTAAGTTGTGAGACAAACTTCAGCCACAGGGATTTCTACTGGCTTGGAAATAGGGAGTGTTTCACCTGGCACAACATACACCCTGCCTAACCAACCCATAGAACACTGAGAATGGCATTATAGGAATGATTAAAGGTCTGGAAAACCTGCTTGTGCAAATAATAATAATAAGAAAGCAAATAAAAAAGCCCAGCTAAACTTAGAGAGAGAGAAAGAAAATGTGTAATCAATCATACCCAGCAAGTGCCTAAACTAAAGATTTCCTCCCAAGGATATCTATTTAATGTGGGGGGAAAAAAAGGCTTAACAAATTCCAGTGAGTGAGTTCTCTAATGAGACAAATGAGGATTAGAAGCAAAGCACTGCTTGGGGATGGTTTAACATTGACAGGAAGGAGTTGCCTCTTTCAGGAGTGTCTCTTCCAAATCCTTCAGGTCTGTTTGTACTGCAGGTCAAAAGAAGAAACTAATGGTTGGGGCTATGCAGAGGGTCAAACTAAATTTCACACAGTCACACAGACAAACTTGAGAGGTCCCTTCCAACCTCAGCCAGCCCATGATTCTGCATGAAAATGATTCTCTGAGTTGAGAGTAAAGGGAGAAGGTGCAATTCTTGGGATTCTTTGAACAATCTGTCTAAGGGGTTCACAGCCTGAGGGGAAAGAAAAAACAACTATTACTAGGAGAGTCCATAAGACATGACTATTTAATCCCTATTTGATAAGTAAGAAGTCCCAATAATGGTTTTGTCCCATCCTTTAACTGTCCCCAGTGACAGAGACTCCCCAGTGTCCCTATAAATCCTAATCAATTCCTGGGTTTCTCTCTGCTGACCATCAAAAAGAACTGGCCTACGTTTTGAAACACTAAATTACTGTGGCTGCAATTTGAGCCCCAAATTCCTAGTTCTACCCAGGCTGGTCATGGAGATTTTTTTTTCTCCCACTTCTTATTTGTAGCAGGGTTTTTTTTTTCACACACTTAAAAGACAACTTGTGACTTCTCCCTTCAGTGTTTCA